GGAGCCCGATGTGGGACTCGATCCCGGGACTCCAGGATCATGACCTGAGCCGAAGGCAGTCGCTTAACCAACTGAGCCACCCAGGCGCCCGAAACAAGTTTTTATTTAACTTGTTTTTAAAAATAGGTAATATAATTTACATGGTATAAAAGTCAAGTTATAGAAGTGCATGCTGTGAAAATTATTCATCCTGCCCACTCTTTCAACACCCCTTACTCCCAACTCCTATCCAGTCCAGTTCCCTCCCTAGATAAAACTATGGTTACCAGTTAGTTACTTGTCTATCTTTCAGAGATACTCTAAATCAAGGTTTTAAAAAGAAACTTGAAATTTCCATGTTGCTAAGGAAGCTAGCAAAGGATTCTTGATTTGCCTCTCCCCAAGTCTCATTTGTATACTGATAACATCACATAAGAGCTACAAAGGTAGAACACAACAAAATATGAATCAATGATTCGTCAGATCACAGGAGTAATTCCCACTAACCCCAAACATAAGGCTGGCCATGAGGAAGGGCAGCAAGGCCAGGCAGGATGACAGAAAGTAGGGATTATCTCAGGGTAAGATGACAGGTGATCTGTTTCTCCTGGAGTATAGAACTACAGTGCTCACTCCTACCTACTTCTCTGCTTCTGGGACCATAGGGAGATTTCAGTTCCCTGACACTTAAAATTAAGTGGGCCCATGATGTGGCTATTTCTAGCCAAAGGGTTATGAGGCCAAAGCATTTAATTGCAGAGGACAGCCCCTTCAGTGTTCTTTTCTCCTGCCACAGGGAATAAAGAGGCCATGTGTTCCAGATGGTACAGCTTGAAATGGTGGGGCCTCTTTCAACCTGGGTCCTTGAGTGACTGTGTGGAGGAAAGCCCCTGATGATGCACAGTGGATGTATGGTACACGCAAGAAATTAAAGTCTGTCATATTAAGCTGCAAAGATTTTGTGATTATTTCCTCTGGCCTATCTGAACACATTTCCATAGAATTTGAAATTTTTCAACAGCATGTATTATTTATCAGAATTTTAAAAAGCTATAGAAGAAAACAACTTTGAAAAGCAACAGTGCAAATGTCAGAAAATTGGTAAAATAAAAACTCAGTTTTAATTCCCAATACATTAACTGCCTTTGCATTGTTTTGTTCTGATTTTCTTTATATTTGTCTATATTGGGAAAGAAGGTCTCAATTCAATGACCTACTAAGTTTCTACCTTAAATAAAGGGTGAATTAAACCCAAAGTAAGCTAAAGGAAGGCACTAAGAGCAGAAAACAATGAAGTTTATAAAACAAACAGAACAACCAGTGAACCAAAAGCTGGTTCCCTGGAAAAACAACAACAATGAATTGATAAAACTTCAGCCAAACTAAGAAGAACCTAACAAAATTAGGAAAGAGAGGACCTCACTACAGATCCTACAAACATTAAAAGGATAATAAGGGACTGTTATGAATAATTTTAATGAGACTACTGTCACAGGACATAAATTTCTGGAAGGACACTACCAAATCTCATTCAAAAAGATCCCTAACAATCTCTATTAAACTGATATTGCACTTAAAAACCTTCCCACAAAGAAAACCTAGGCTCAGTGTAGATGAATTCTACTAACATTTAAGGAAGAAATACCAAACTTGAAAGAAAACAGAAGATAGAAATACCTCCTAACTTCTTTTACCAGACCGGAATCACCCTGATACCAAAAGCAAAAACATTTCAAGAAAACTAAATTATAAATCAACATCCCTCAAGAACAGAGTCAAAAACCCTTAACAAAATATTATCAAATTAAACCCATCGATACATATATAAAGAATATACCCTAATACATCACAGCCAATGCAAGCTTGGTTTAACATTAGAAAATCAATGTAATGTAATTCACTATGTTAACAGAATAAAGGAGAAAAACTGTATGATCACCTGAATTGATACAGAAAAAGCACTTAACAAAATCCAACATGATTAAAACTTCCACAAACAAAAAATAAGAGGGAACTTGGCAACCAGATAAAAAGCAGCTGTGATAAACCTAAAACCTACATCTAACATCATGCTTAGTGATGAAAGAATGGCCATTTACCCCCTAAGATCCACCCTTCACTCAACATTTTTTTTAGAACCCCTATCCAGTGCAGTAATGCCTTAAGAGGAAATAAAAGCCATGAAGACTGGAAAGAAAGAAGTAAAACTGTAATCATGGATCACGTACTTAGAAAATCTAAATCTATAATAAAGCTACTAAAAGTAACAAGTAAATTTAGCAAGGTTGCAGGTTTTTTAAAAATCGTATTTCTAGACACGTGATAAACAACTGAAAAATGAAATAACATTTTAGTGGTAGCATTAAAAATATGAAACATTTAGGGATAAATTTGACAAAGCACATGCAAGACAGTGTTCTGAAAATTTTAAACAATACGGAAAGAAACTGAAGATCTAGACCAATGAAGATATATACACCATGGGTTGGAAGACTCAGTGTATTTTTTGGTTGTTGAAACTGGCAGGCTGATTCTACAATTTATATAGAAATGTAAAGGACTGAGCAGAGCCAAAATAATTTTTAAGAACAACGAAGTTGGAGGACTTATACTACCTGATTTTAAGACTTGTTATAAAGGCACAGAAAGAGGGAAGAGGGGATGGTATCAGCATTAAGGATAGTCCTATAAATCAGTGAAACAGAAGAGGATCCAGAAATAGACACACACATTTATGGTCACTTGATTTTCAAAAGCAAGGTAATTCAATGGGGCAAAGGACAGCCTCTTCTAAAAATGACGCTGTAAAGTGGATATCCATATGGGAAAAATTACATCACATCATACACAAAAATAAACTCAGAATGGATAAGACTAAATGTGTGTGTCGGGAGGGAGATGGGTGAAGTAGGTGATGGGGATTAAGGAGTGTACTTGTGAGGAGCAGTGGCTGTTGTCTAGAAGTGCTGAAATCACTATATTGTACACCTGAAACTATTATTATATATACCGTATGTTAACTAGCTGGAATTTAAATAAAAACTTAAAAAGACTTAAAAATTTTTAAAACTTAAAAATGCCAATGTGAAATGGAAATTTCTGGAAGAAAAAA